TCAATTAATAAGCTTAATCATAATTGTATAATTAATAATATTATAAAATAATAAATAATCATATACAAACTAGCTAATAACCAGCTGTATAATTAATATACAACGAGAGATACACCATAATTATAATTAACAATTCGCTAATTTAACACTAATATAATATAATTATATAATAATTAAGAAGTAAAACAACAACATACAAACACCATACAACCAGTAATGATTAGTAACACACAAACAACAACAAACACAACTAAACTAATCAGATAATTACTAATGAATTAAATATAATATATCTAATCAAACTAATTATATATGAATATATATATACAATAAGTACCAATCGATATAGTAGACTGAAATTAAGATTACTATACATTACTTGATTATTCTCCATTATTATTATGGTGAGATTATCCATAAGTATATTCATGAATAGTGCTATCAATAATGGTTAAATATGATTAACAAATTTAATAAAAAATATAAAAAAGAAATCAAATTAAATCTTAATGGCCAACATACAAATTAATACAAAACTAATCAAACATAAAATCTTCAAATATATTATAAGACACCTTAACAAAACTATCAGCCATATATCTATACTTAATTATGTATATATGTATTTAGTGATAACGTGAGTCACGTAGTTATAAAAATAAAATAATAATTATAATACAAGTACAATTATGACAATATGAACTAATTAATTAAGACAATATTGATAATAGATATATATATAATTAGTAATAGAGTAGATTCACTAATGACACGTACTGCTATATATATAATAAACGTGATAATTTGTAATATTATTAATATATACTATCGCTTACCTAATAGTACATCAACTCAACACTACTACATCTATTTAATATATTGCCTATAGTATGAGTATTATATCTTATATATATATGTATATATATAATTATGATATTGAATTTTATTATATATATATATATATTTATATATATTATTATACACCGTACTGCTAAAGCTTATTAAGCCTACAACTATATATACATTATATAACTATCGAAATCACTTTACCACTTTACTTTATATATATAGAACCTATACAAATAATAAATATCATGATATATCGCTATCATATTATACCTATATTAATAGTAATATCATTATAATTATACATACTAAGTATATTAACATACTAGCTAACCCTATACCTTTATAGCCTATATGTATATATATATCATTAGATCGATACAACCAAAAACCGCATATATGGTACAAACTCCCCTACACAGGATATTAAATTATATGACTATCACCTGACCACTTTAGCTACTCGACTAATTAATGATTATCACATTATCAAATAAATAAAACCGATTTATATCTATAATCGAAACTATCACTTACCAACTCATTAGATCAATGATTAGTATATCCCTAGCATTAATGTCTATCAGAGACTTCAATAATGAATACATAATTATTAGGCATACAATAAATAATGAACTTACGTAAATAATACGACACACATTAAACTCAACCATAACCCTATATATTAATGACACCACACAAGACAATCAAGCTTTTGCCAATAACATAATGAAGTAAGTAATACATACAGATACAAGAACTAATAAATACTCCATATATAATCTTTAAAGAAAGAAAAAATAATGATGTACAAAAATTACTTGTGCAAACTTTAGAAAATAATTATGGGCTAGAAGATAAAATAATATAGATGGGAATTGCTAAAGTAGTATAAAATTCATAATACAGAGTACTCCAATAAGTACACTATATGAAACTTATACGCACACACACACACACGCACGCACATGCACATATTAACCTTGACAGAATATACAAAAGCAAACCAACAGGTAAGAAATACGTATACTGTCCACTTTTTGTTTTCTCTCTTGCAGTCCACCATCTCAGAATGCAAGTTATTGCTAAGAATACATCCAAATACTAATTCTAACAGAGTATGCAAAAGCAAACTGACAGCCAACAAAAGTGTACACTGTCCACTTTCCGTTTCCTTTCTCGCAGTCTGCCATCGTAGCATGGAACTTCTTACTAAGAATGCATCCAACAGATCTTGGGGGAGTAGGGATGGAGGGGTGAGCACCCCCACTTCAACCTCATCCTAACGATGCATGTACACTCGCATGCATACTAACTGCTTTGGCAACTCCTTGTTCTGTCTTCCTAAGCACAAAAGATAATAGGAGTGAAATAGTGATGTTTTTTATCTCCCTTAATGTTATTTTTACACGCAATTTTCATAGACCAAGTATCGAGGAACATGTAATAAAATGACACTAAAAGGAAAAATAGGTTGAAAAAAGTTCAACCAAGAGAGTAAAACAAAATGTCATAGCCTCCTTCGGACTATTAAATACATATATACAGGCCTTTATACTTCTATGCTTAGCCAGCAGTTAAAACACGCACCAGTCCTGGCTTATACTTCATGACTTGGTCTTCATTGAGAGCAGAGTTAAAATGCAGATAAAATCACAGATGGATTTTTTTAAAGGTTGGGATAATCTTTCACTCATGGCATTATACAAATAAATGACTGAATATCAAAAATAACTCATGACTGGCAAATCACTAAATAATAAAGTGAAAAATAAAAAAATAAACAAAACTATTTCAAAGTCCTTCCTGACAAAAAATACAAACATGCCCAACATATTTTCAAAATATAATAAATGCAATTATGACAGAAACTGCTCAGCATCAAGTGATTTTGATTAAATAATGATATTTCATCATCATGACTTGAAAACAAGGACCAACTTAGCAAGAAGGGTCGAACTTATAGAAGGCTAACCTGATCTCACTCACTTATCTGACCCTATAAAAAGCAAGTATGTATATGATGATGACTATGTAATTTGCCTATTCTACTCTACTTTCTTCAGAACACTTGTAATGTTCCTCCTTTTACTATAATTATTTCCCATTTATTTTGATCCTATATGCAATCCCTTAGTGTTGTAAGATACATAATGATTTGTAAACTTGTATACCAAGGGGATATATAACATTTATTATAGCTTATTCTACTTTCCACCTTCTACTGGTGCACTCTGATTTTGCAATTTCATTTGGACTTACAGAAAGAATACAAAGCCTCCACTTCAGCTGTATATATAATGTTAAAAAAAACTAAATGAAAATAAAAATAAATAAATAAAGAAAAAATAAAAATAAAAAATAAAATAAAAAACATCCAGGTTTGGTCAGCATCCATTCTATAAACTCTTCCTTCCTTCTGTTGGTCAACATCATCCATACAAACAGACATCATCATCTATCCTTCAGGAAAATAGAAATAAAGAAGAAAAAGATAAACAGACAAACCATCTACCTCCCTGGACTCGTTTTGTTTTGTTCTATTTTCCCTTAATTTAAGTTAGGTAGATCATGTCAGGTTATACTTGGTTTAGTTAGGCCTGGCTTGATTAGAAAGAGAGAAGCTCATCATGATTACTATTGGTATATTATGTAAGTGACTGTTTTTACATTTTCATGCAGTTAGTTATACCTTACAGAATGATATATATATATTTTCTTGAACCTAAAGCATGCGTTGGTATCCTATACTTTACCCACAGTCGATTAGTAAGTCTTGATTTCCCATTTCTTGAGTTTTTCGTGTATTTTCCTTTCTTAGCTATTGATATCAATACTAATAATACTGTTATTGATATCATGGTTACCATAATGTTACTGAAATTCTAATAACAGTGAAAATAAAAACGATAACTCCAAAATCAAGGAAAAGGTAAAATGACAAGAATGGTAACTGCGCATTTGTGGAGCCATCTTTGTGTAGACACAATTAATAAATTAAAATTACAGTGAATTCCAACCACTATTCAAAAAGCAACTAATGTAAAAAGCATTATTCAAGAAATGTTTTCCAACAGACACACTGACAAACGCAATCTCAATGGCTCACAGTGCTCTATCAAAGGACAACAAACCCCCAATATTTTGTGAAAATTGTGCTTGTAGGCATCCCAAGCCATTTGCTGTCAAGTAAGAAGCAGTTAAATGTTCATCTTGGTCAAATATACATACTAAAGGTTTGTTGTCCTTTGCCTGTGCAAACAGTACAGAAGTTACAACACCTGCTTAAACTGTGCCAATTTTGGATTAGACTTCAAATTGCAGGCCTATCACCAAAGATCATAATATGCTTCAAGTGCAATATAATTACAATAAAAGTGCCTGTTTTGGAAACCAATAAAGTGCATTGAAACATTTTCCAAATATTTAAACATTTTTCCGAGATATTAACCAATTTCATCAAATGTCAATTATACACGTGCCGTACCTCGAGCACACACACAAAGTATCAAAACCCACCGCCAAAAACACACTCTAAACACTAATAATTTCATAATAACCTTTTCAGCCAACCCAACATACCTGTCACCCACACAAACCCCCAGCTCCTCCTCCTCCCCCCTCCCCCAAACCCACCCCAACATAACCACAGCATAAACCCCAAACCCCTCACATAAAACCACAGCCCCCTACCCTCCCTCCTTCCTCCCTCACCGGCCACAGGAGAAAGACAAGGGGGAAGGAGAGCCCGAGCAGGTGTCAGACACGTGCAGCACCTGTAACACCTGCTCTAACCGCCATCGCCAGGTAACACTAACGAATTACTAACTCCATCTCAGACCTTCACTAACCACCTATTTTGCCGTCAGGGTCTAATTCCTGGACATTATATATGTGGATTTCTGCTTTATTTTCGAGTTTGGGATACACTATGTGGCGGAGAGTTATGAGTTTGAATAGAGGTAATGATATTAAATATAATGGTAATAAAAGCACTACTTTGCGGAATCTACTGACCTTCTAGTGATCGAATTACTATACATTTCTTCCTCGAAAATAAGAAACAAATTCATAATTTACGAGCAACACACAAACAAAATCGAATTTCCCCTCAAAAAACGAAATGGCAAAAAAACAAAAACAAAAATACGAACCTTCTACCAAAAGTTCTTTCTGTGTCTCCTCTTGAAGAAAAAAAATGATTCTCCTCACACGAATCTCATATCTTTCTCTCACTCTTTCATGTATATCGAACCCTCTCTTCCTCCTCTACACCTTCGAAATAAAACAGTATGCGAAGGGAGGAAGGGGCGTGTGACACAAGAATCAGGGAAGAGAGAGAGAGTAAAAGGACACCTTCTTGCGGCCACGTTTGAGCAACAACTGGACATTCCTCTCGCGCTCCACCTGCCGGAAGCTACGGACTATGGCCCACAGTTTCCTTGCTCTCATCTCTCTTCTCTCTCTCATCTCTTCTCGAGTTCTATCATCTCGTACTCAGTCTCGATCTCTCGATCCTCTATCTCTCATCGAGTACTCATTCTCATCTCTCGTCTCTCTGTTCTCGTTCTCTTCTCATATACTACTTCTCTCTCTTAACTATTACTCTTCCTCTCTTTCTCTTCATCCTTCTCTTCCTCGTATCTCAATACTCTTCTCTATCCTCTTTCTCTTCGTGCGTTCTTCTCTTCTGCTTATTTCTCTTCTCTTTCTCTTCTCTTCTCTCTCTTCTCTCTCTCGTCCCGTCTCTCGCAAAGCATCCTCATCTCCCTCTCAGCGTCCCTCTCGTGCCCTCTCTCGCATCTCTCCCTCTCCGGTCTGCCTACTGTCGCCGACATTCTCAGACTCTCTCTCGGGTACCCGTCATAAGTCTCGTACCCTCGATGAAATCTCATCGTACCTTCTACACCACCACTCGCTCTCTCAGACGCAAGCTATTCGTGCCCTCCATTGTACTCTTCTCTCTCAATCGTCTCTCAAGAACTCCTGTATGTTCTGCTACTCTGTCTCCTTCTTTGTTTCGTGATGTAACGTAATTCAAATAAGATATACTTGTATATAAAATCAATTTTTCGATACTGGTTTGTCACCTCTACCACTACTACTCCCTTCTCTCATCGTCCACTCTCATCTCTTCATCTTCTCTCTCAACTCTCGTCCCTCTCTCTCTCTCTCATTCTCATCAGAATCTAATCGTCGTCTTCCTCATGTCTCATCTCTCTCTCTCACAGTCTCTTCTCTCCATCTCTCTACCCTCACAATCGTGAGAGGAAGTGCACACAGCCACCCCACACACACACACAGCACAGATATCCACACACACCAGCACACACACACAGCATCACACAACCACACACACAACACCACACACACAACACAACATATATAAGTAATATAATATGTGTCATATAAGTAGAACCTATAATATAAATAGGTAGTATCATATCATGAAATAGAATAGTATATGATAAATAATAAGTATGTAGTAGATATAGTAAAAAACATATATGTAGTACATATAGTGGTATCATTATGCAATAGTATTAATAGATATAAATAAATAGAAGATACAATTATGTGTGTGATGTGTGTGATGTGTGTGTGTGTGCGTGCGTGTGATGTGTGTGTGTGTGTGTGGTGTGTTGTGTGTGTGTGTGGGTGTTGTGTGTGTGGTGTGTGTGTGTGTGATGTTGTGTGTCTGTGTGTCGTGTGGTGTGTGTGTGTGTGATGTGGTGTGATGTGGTGTGTGTGTTGTGTGTGTGGTGGTGTGTATAATATATATACAGTATATTACTAATGTGTTATATGTAAGATATATAGTAAATATGATATTAGTAAAGATAGTAGGATGTGAATATAGATGGATGTATATATAGATAACATATATCACTATCACTATGTCTAACAATATGTATATATGATAGTTAGTATAACATGGTATAGTTATACATATTAATGATAGATGATTATACTAGTAGATAATTAGATAATTGATAGATAAGATATATCTGTATAATTATATGTGGCATATATATGTAATATAATATACATTGTATGAGTAGGTTTAAATTGTATATATATAGTAGATTTTTTTTTTATTGTGAGTGGTCTGTATGGTTTGGTTGTACATATATAATATCATGTAGATAAGTATTATATAATATGGTAGATGTATTACGTAAGAGTTACTATAGTATATATATAACAAGCTAATAAATTAAATAATATGTAAATATATATACATATATACATAAATATACATATATAACATAAGTAATTAATAATATAAACATATATGAAGCATATAATAGCATATATGCTATACATACATACAGTACACACACACATCACACATACACACACACACACACCAACACACAACACATATATATTATATGTATTATAGTGTATAGTATCATAAATAAGAATAAGTTAATATATAGTATGGTAATATACACAAATCACGAGATTACGTATACATATATTGCACACAGAATAGATGTACATATACATACATATTTATATGTAAAGAGATTTATAATGCACAGACAACACACACACACATATATTTTTAATACAGCACACACACACACCACACACAACACACACACCACACACACATATATAATATTAATAATTGAGTATATATATGAATCATATATATAACTATAGGTACATATATAGTATATTAATATATATATTGATGTGTAGTGTGTGTGGTGTGTAGGTGTGTGTGTGTGTGTGTAATTTCGAAGAATGTTGTATACATACATTAATATATCACATTTAATACTAGGTATGGCATGTGCATAGATATCGTACGTATAAATAGTAATGTAATGTTATGCATGTATTGTTAATGATAGAGACAGAGAGAAAGAGAGAAGG